TTTTTTTTTTTTTTTTTGAAAGTAGTTGCACAATCACCATAGAGTTGGATTTTTGTAGAATTATTATTAATCGAATTGAATTATTCTATACTGAATTCGAACAGCACAGTGATTTAAGAATACGAATCGAGCGATTACGAAAGAGTTATTCGCGCAGGCTTTAAGTATGCACGGTGTGTGCACGCACGTGGTTCTCCAGGATACCGGTCCGAGTGTCGTGAACTGTTACGCGGTCCGCATTCAACATTAACACACTCCCCATTACGTAGGATGATATTTATCCGAGGCATGACATTCAGTGTCGAACAATGACCGCAGATAGTTATTTAACATTAAAACGAAGATGAATCACGATCAACTCTTCGCTATTGAAATATTGAGAATTAAACCACGTTTTTGTTTCAGCATCTAAATGCATGAAAGATACGGTAACTACCAACCATGAGAAGGAATATTATGTATGAAAATATTATGTATTTATAAATTTCTTCAGAAAGATGATTGAAAGATAATTTATTATAATATGGCAAGGCTGATATACTAAAGAAGATAGTAGACCAAAAGCTAGCCAAAGTAAACTATCGTCATGCAAACAGTTCAGGCTAGAAAAGGACAGGCTGAAAAGCTGGATTAAAAAGTATCTATAATGAAAGTGTGTAACTTAGGATTGAGGTTGGAAAGAGTGATTTCCATAGCTTTTGCAACGGACTAACAATATGTATATCCTAGTCGCTTGCTGGCGAGCTGGTTGCCAGGCAGTGAGTTTCGTCCAGGTAAACCTCTTCTCGTTTCCTCTTTCACTCGCTTGTACCTTGTTGCCGATACAAACGCCATATTACCAGTCTATCGACGTTTGATATCGGTCGACTGGACTCAGCGGTGCGCAAATTCCCATGATACAGGGCAAAACTTTTAGTTACAGAAATTCTGGTTGAAGAATACCCAGATGTTGCTTGTTTCATTAGGAACTATGTTAGATAACTTATTTTGAGGATAGATAGGCATAGATCTATAATAATTAATAAAATGATAAATAGATCTATGATAATTTGAAATTAAGATGGAGAGTTATCCTTTATTATGATCATCTTTACAACAGACATGGGACAAAAAAAAATTTCTTTCCAATCTCTACTGAGTGATTTCAAGGTTACAACTGACGTACATACATAAATCTTCCAATATTTCAATATTAATGATCTCTGTTACCTAATAACTCAGAGGAAATATATTATTTTCAAGCTTCTTTTCCTTTCTTAGAAACCGAGGAGGGAAAAGCGTTTTCTGTTGCATAAACCGATCGGATCTTCCAACGTGTGCATTAAGTAATGATTGCGAAACGTATTATAGATAAAGAAAAGTTCTTCCTAGAAAATTCTTGTCGTGTATGTACAATTATAAATCCAGAAACCTAATTATTATTATTATTATTATTAGGTACTGTCAGATTTAAACAAGCTATGAATCTACCTTTTATACGATATTTTTTTCTTATTTTTCCTCAGGCAAATAAGGTGTTAACTTCTTCAAGAAACCTGAAACATCCAATACATGGAAAATATATTGCCACAATATATTTGTGTTCAGTGAATTCTCTCTGTTAAAGTAAGCGCCGATTCCGGTTCGACCGCTGTTGATTAATACGCGTTGCTCGTAAATTATCATGATACAAGGTTGCGCACCACTGATTTAATGGATGACTCTGCCGGCCTGGTGTGGTAATCACGGTGAAAAATCTTTCGTTCGAACGGCCCTCGGGTCGGCCCTCAGTAATTTTGTCGTCAACAACACGCCGTTGCTCGTCTGCCCTTTAATTACCACGGGATCTCGAAAAATCCACGCGAAAAACCCGGCTCCTGTGAAAAACCATGGCGCTGCCTGGTTCAACAACCTTGCATAGCTGAATGCTATGGTTGAATGGCGTAGAATAATCGAACGAGATTCGGTGGAAAATTATTTTATTCTCGGTTATTTTTGTGGAAATTATACAGTTGAATAATAGACGGATGTTTATGCAAATTTGCCTTGTTATGAATGTAATTAAGACAGAAAAAGATGGACATTTGTTTTGATAATGTTTGTAAAAATATTATTGTAGGTGTGGAGGTATTCATTGCAGAACGAAGACAACGGGAATTTTTAAAAAGACTTATAACAGGAACTTGTAGAAAATTTATTTTCTATAAGTTTTTGCAATTATGTACCCACTTGACCCAATGAAGATCAAGCAATAATTCAATGATAATAAGTTAATTCATAATTCCATTGCACTTTGACACTAAAAATACCTGGTAAACGCATAGAAATTCACAGTCTAATAATAGCCAAGAAAAATTCTAGAATTTTTTTCTTTCACAACATGATCAAGCGGTTATGCAATAGTTGTGGAATAATCCTGATAAACATCAGACATGATCTGATATGTAATTTACAGTTTTTTTGAAAACTTGGTATGAAATGTGGAATAAAATTAAAGAAGAAAAATCGTAAAACTTGTTAATGGTGGTAATTAAGGTGTTCGGTGAGGAAGTCTGACAGGATTACATGAACAAGGATAGTAATTGCTTAGGTACTGATATTTCTGATGAAGATAGTATTTCACGGATCGTTGTTGCCACTTTCTGAATTATTTTCTTCTTTTTCATATTTTTTTGGAGTAACAAGTTTGCCTCATCATGCACCATTATGTATGATTTCCAGGCCAGTCGCTATTTAGCGCGTTTTTTAATATTTTTTCCAATCACGCTTGCGTAACTTTTTGTGTTCTTATTACTTCTCTGGTCATTAAGAAATTTGTTTCACCAGTGTAGTTTGACCAGGATATTTATGATGAATCTTGTACGAATTTTTATGTATATATATAATTTATTATCTTAAATTTATAACTAATTTTTATCAAATCATTTACAAATCAAATAATTCCTTGTTGAGTGTTGCATTTTTCATAAAGAACAAGTAGAATTTGTCACAACTACATAATTAGCTATTATAGATTATTCAAACACTACAAAATACAAATGTAGCAACAACATTTCAAGCTTAAACCAATGATTAAATTGTGAACTTTTACTTATCTGAGATTCAATTCTAATTTCTAATGTTCTTAGTTAAGAGTTAAATAAAGCTACAAATAATACACACAATACACAAAATTAATAATGAATGTTTGAAACAAATCTTCAATCGGATTCTACTGTTTCACTTGTTTTACACTCAATTGAAAGTAACTAGGATCTATTTTCAGGGAACCGATGGACGTTCCTCATTCTGAAGCAAAGACTCAGAGGCTGGCTATCAGCATACGATATAACGCTATAATGTACCGTAAGTCTTCACGCATGGTGGATCGAAACGAACAGAAGAGGAGGAACAGGCAACAACACCACACGCGATCGATTGGTGGCTCGTTATAGAGAGCCTGGTTGAAAGTTCGAACGAGGTCCGTGCATTAATATTTCCGTTATTGCGCGCACGAGCACCGAGGTTATGCCTTTCACACAGCCAAGTAATAATACGGAAAGTGATCGTTCCTCTCCCAGTTGGCTGATCGATCACGATACGGATTTTAACAAGCCTTCATCCGATTAACGCTCCACTGATCACGCAAACCTTACCTCAGCACATTTTGTTAACTTTTTTATGCTATTACATTAAGCGGAAGATTATACACAGCGTTAACAGAGATTTAATGGATTAAACAAGCTCACACGCATGTTATTTTAATTACAAAATGGGATATATTCCTAAATGAAAAATAAAATAGGCGTAAGAGATTTGAGAATGTTAATGGAATTAAATTATGGCACGACTAATTAATGATCAGTTTAAATGGTATTTATACCAGGAGACAATAATAGAGCAATTAATGGTGGAATAATTATCATCCAAACATGGAGATTCTGGAATCTCCAACATTTCATAACATTGCTGGATCTACTTAATCTTGGCTTTCCTTTTCAAGAACTTGTCAATCCACTCTTGATATAAATTACTATTAGCTTCTGTTCTTAGAATCCGGGCTTGGAGATGTCATCGACTTGTCAATCCTATAACTAGAGGCTCATAAAAAAGGAGTTCTCTTCAACCTTCTACTTGAACCTCAAAGTGAGGCAATCAAAATGCACTAAATTTTGACTAGAACTTTAATTATGGATATTTTCAAATTATTGTCACAGATTATAAAAGACTCCTAGCACCTGCTCCTAGTTCAGAATTTCATTTGGCATTTAATCTTGCAATTAAATCGCAAATAATTGGAAATTATCAGATCAAAGATCATTAAGCACCAAAGTACCTAAAGTAGTTTCAAATTGTTATAATAGAGATCCTCATGTACTGAACAAACTTAGAATTTTATTAAGACTTTTAATTTTGTAACCAAACCTTGATTGCCTAGTTCCGTACATCAGAGATAGATCCTTAATCCCAAATGGTCACGTGTACACCACTGTTTACTCATTTTCACAAAAACGTATTAAGCAACAATGAAGAAAGAAAATGGATAACCCAGAGAGGAGGATAACGTTTGAACAGAAGTTCGCCGAACAAGAGTATCCGTACAAGTCTATGGCCGCGGCGCGACTAAACGTTGATCCAGGACTTTCACTTTGAGATCCAGTCGGCCCTCTGTTCCTTCTCGAGCCGATTATTCGCAACACGCCCACGCTCGCCAGCTCTGAATCACGATCGAATTGTTCTTACATGGATAATACCATTCCCTGGCTGGACAGAGTGGTTCTCTGTTAATACGTAGACGGATTTATTCGGGAACTGAAAGTTAACATGGTTTATCATCCAGATTTAGAAAATAAATGGTATCCAAGATTATGACAAGAAATTAGCAGTGAGAAGAGTATGATTGGAATAATCAGAAGACTCTTGCTTAAAGTTCATACAAGTATATGAACTCATGAGATATTTCAGATATAATATGATATATGTAAAATTATGAAGAATTTATATAATGATATTCTGTTAAAAGATAGTAAAAAAAAGAATAACTAGATGACCAATAGTTTGAAAATAATATAAATTAAACTTGAAACGTTGAGTACAAAATTAGATGACTGAGGACTTTCTAGGTTTCTTTCCAAGAATAACTGAATATGATAAAACTCACTGACAGGGTTCTCTGATATCTGGCTCTAAAAAAGAATAATTGAATTGATGGAGGAACGTTAATTAAAATTTACAATGGCGAAGTGAAGTTTGAAGCTAACTGTATAGTAAATGGGTGCAAGAACAAAGGAGGATTTCATGAATAACTGTAAATAATGAACATCAGTGAACTAACAATAAAAATTAAGGTATAATATTGTGGGTCATTGAAAATTTTAATGATCAATTTGTATATTTAGTAAACATCTAAGATTTTATAATAATTTTGATATTTATTTCCGGTTTGAAAGAAGTACGAAAAACGAATGAAGGAAAATTTGATGAGTAAGGAACACGAATGGAAAAGTGAATGAACTTGGCGTGTCAGCACCACCAGAAACCGCTCAAAGTTTGCTATCGTAGTTCGTTGAACGAGGAATGGCTGAGGAAGACGAAAAGAAGCCAGCGCTTACGTAAACGCGCTTTCGTTTGTTTTTGAAATATACATCGACTTGATCCTGATTCAACACGGAAGAGCATGTGGCACCACTGCGATCCGACTCGCTGATAATCAAACGGTAGAAACTCGATTTTTCGTTCCGAAGGAAGCAAAATAGTCTCAATCACTCGATTGAGAAATTCTTTAAAAAAATTGGACAAATTTAAAAATATCAAGAATTAAGGAAATTAGAATTAATAACATATGAAAATCAATAGATTGAATAACCGATAATTTGAAGCTTTGAGCATCGAAGAGTAAAGAATTTAAGAATTCGAAACTTTGGAAATTTGAGCATCGAAGAGTAAAGAATTTAAGAATTCGAAACTTTGGAAATTTGAGCAATTGATAGTTAAAAGAATGAATATTTTGAAAATACAAAATTTAGAAGATCAATACCGCATGTAAAAACCTAGTTAGAAAATTGGTATCTTAAACCTGTTTTGAAGAAAAAGATTATTACAAGTATTAAATAGCGGAGTTAACGTATCGGTTAACAGGGACGAAGCGTTTATTTTCGAACGTCGATGAATGAAAATTAATACACGGTGTTGACGGCAACAGAAACGTAATCGTGACAGGCTATATCGAGTCCCAGCTGTTCACCTCCGCCGGTATAATCCATTCCCTGACTTTCCTCGTTCTACAGTTACTCCGGGGTGAAAGGTGAACCCTCTCCCTTCTCTTCGAGATCGTACCAACGAGAGGATCCGCGACTGTGCTTGTCGGAGAGACCGATTGCAACACTCTGGCTCTCCGTTTTCTACCTCGTTCTTGGGGACGAATCCTTGAGGCTGTGATTCACTAGACTACTAGTGAACGAGTGAGTTACTCCGAAATGCTATCAATTATATTGCAGAATGATCCAAATGACCCGTCCGTGATATAAAAAGAAAAATCACTCCAGCTTAAAATACAGTAGAAGCGTTCATATTTTGTGAAAGATTGGATTCTGATCAATTTTGAGTACATTATCCAACGTACACTGATCAATAAGAATTATGGAAGAATATTTGATGCTCCAAGAATAACACAGTGATTGTCTTTATCCCTGAAAGAGCAGATTTCGTCAGCAAATGGAATAAGGCCAAGGAAAATCATTCGCTTACTGGAATCATCCATATCTAATCTTAATCATTATTCTACTCGCGTATGTTTATTATTTCCCCGTGTCCTCGCCGCGAGTCACCACACGAAAGTGACATCATGTTCACAAACCAGTTCTCATTGACTTTAATACCAGTTCCCTATAGTGGATCTCTAGAGATGGTCGCCAGGTGGGGTCATGACCTCACAATGCTTCGACAGCCACGTGTCCTCTGGTCCTCAGAGAGTTCAGACATACTTCAGAAATTGCAGAGGATCGTCGTATGAAAGAATATCAAGTCTTCTGTATTTTAAACTGTTTAGGTTCTTTTAACTATTAATTAATATAGATTTCTGTTATTCTCCTCTATAGTCAAAACATATTTAAGACACTTTGGACCTTCTGGAGACCAAAGTCTGCGTTTTCATTGAAATGTTGGCACTAAAAGGGGTCAAAAAGAGGAAAACTCGGCCGAACACGTGAGAGACAATGGCCCCTTGGTTTTGCTTGGAAGTTTCGAGGCGGCTTATGTGCATGCTACACCAAGCAGAAACTTCAGTCTCCATTACATAAGAGAATAGCCGGCTCTCTTCATCTCTTTTTTCCCCTCTCTCGATGTTGAATCACCGTGGGCGTCTAGACGAATTTAATTAAACCCAGACACATAATTCCTTCAGATTTTTGTCATTTAATTTGCAGAATTGCTCGAGCACTAAGTCAACTATTAAATTGTCGCTCAAGTCTAATTATTGTCAACAAATTGGCAAGTTGTTGGATTGTACTTGAAATGGAAAATCGCTTGAAAGATGCTGATGGGAGAAATGACGGATGGAGAAAATGAAACATGACAGCGGGGAAACGTGTGATTGAACGTGAAATTACAAAGCACAGAGGCGCCTTCTGTTGATATGTCGTACTCTATTATTTCCAAACACCGTTAGGCTTTATTACATGGCACATTTTCTTTCGTGGGTGGTAACTTTCTCGATGGAACTCTACAGCAACGCCC